CGGGTATGAGACCGGCAACGGTAGAGTTCTCAACTGTTTAAGTTGATATTCTGTTCTAGACTTTGAAGGCGTCGAAGCAAACGAAATGGAAGATTCTTTGCGCTCGGCCGTGGGGAACCTCTCTGAAAGTGGAACTGACGAAGAACCGCTAACGTTATTAAGGTATTACTGTTCTTTCTAGTTTTTATCACCTCTAGTTCTGCTAATACGTCATTTTAGAAAACGTATGGATACTTTCGTTCAGAATCTGGCGCAGGCGCGTTCACTGATGGATCAAGGAAATGGGGAAAATTTTGAAGTCAAGGTATGGTAAATTTGTATTGCTAATTTTTTAATTACAAGCTGAATGAGGGAATCCACTATCTGAATTAATCTGAATTTAAGTGATTTGAAAGGAGTCATATGTTTTGTGTTCTGATGCATGAATGAATCAAATCTAACGTCTCTTGATTATGTACTGATAGGAAATATTCCCATGATATCTGTGATTGTGGCCGTAAAGCATATAATTCACAGTAATAGAACCACACAGAACCAGCGATCGTAAAATTATGTGAAACGATGGATGCGACCGTGTAGGCCGCTTTGCAATAATATATTGTTGATTCAAAGTCAGAACGTCACCATTGCGTAAATTGGGTCAATCAAGTTTCAAAATTTATATGATTTGCTGTATGATCAAGCATCCTGAAGATGACAGGATGGAGGCCACGGAGGACTTGCATACGCTTATACTGCTTCCCGGTTAAAGACATAGTTAACTTTCTAAATCGGCGCAAGCGCAGTCGATTACTGGCGCTGTATAAGCAGCTAGGACAATACTCCTGGAAATTTTGAAGTATTTTATAATACTTAATCCATCTGCACCTTTACCATTTTGATAGAAACCATTCGATTTTCTTAGCACACGTACGAGCCCAATTCTAGAAACGATATTTACAAAGACCTAAAGATCTGTAAGGATAAAACCCACATTTAGACCACGTTGAAGCGAAACTGCTTAAATATGTTGGAAAAACTACAATGAACGCGTAGAATGAACACTGGTCAGCTGGAAGCAAGCAACCACTTCATCTTCTTGTTCAGAGGCGGAACTCAGTCCTGATGCATCAGTTACGGGGGGGGTTAATTCTCCATTCAGTACCAGGGAAGTATTTGCAGCATCGATCAGAAGCGTTCGACGAGAAACGCTCCCTTTCCTGACAATCGTTTTTGAGTAATCCGGTCATCTGCGGTGTTTATGTGTTGCTAATGTTACCGTCCAGAGTGGTAATCTGTCCATACCGTTGTGGACTGACATTTAGTTGCGGTTCAGTCCAACTCATTAATACCGCGGTTTTGCTAGATTATTTCTAAACCTAATTTTATGCTTAGGCCTCAGTATTGTTGTATGCACATGTATATTTACGTTGGCTTTGATGTAGGCTGAGACTTAGGAAGTAATGTGTCGAAACCACACATACCCTCTGGACTAAAAATCAAACTAGTTTCAGTCAGTATCGATATGAACGGTTTGCCACTTTTGAAAAAAGTAGAAAAAAGTGTCACTGTTGGAATGTCGGTCGTCCTTCAGTTTTATGATTGGGCCATTTTAGCGCCTTTCTTTCCATGAAGTTCATGGTGCACTGCTGATCTCAGTTTTTATGGCATCAGCTAGGAGTGCCTTATTTTTTTAAGGAGGAGTCTACAGCTGTGGCAAACGTAGCGCATAGTCTCCCGTTTCCAATCCACAAAGTGGTACTTTA